GGCTTATTCCTCATGGGGAGAGGAATAACTCTTGTGCAAGAAGCCCTCTCTTCTGATGCTTTACTGTAAATTTACTTGTGCAAGAACACACGTGCAATGTAGATCCTTCACAAGTTTTTGCGCAAGAACACCTGTTCTTGCGCAAAAAGCCTGCAGTGTAGACATAAAATAATTTTCAAATAAATTTCAAATAAATCCGTTTCAGAAAGATCCCTTATCCCTCTTGAAATAAGGGATAAGAGATCTTTCGGAAAAGGCTTTATTTTTCGAAAGATCAGCGTCTAGACTGGTGCTTTTCTCTGACAAAGCTCCGTACCGAAAAAAAGCGGCAGCCATTTTTATGCTAATGAAGTGAGTGGTTTGTGCTAATGCACAAGACAGAACAAAATCCAGCTTAACGACCCCTATTTTGTCTATCTGGGAACAATGGTATAAAATTTGAGGAAAAAAAGTAAAAATATACACAAAATGTGCTGAATTGTTGAAGAGGGCAATGACTTTTCAGAATATAACGACACCTGAAGATGTCAGATCTTCACTTACGTACTTTAAACATTTTTAGCATTTATTATTCCAAAAGGACTCTTGTTAATTACAGTGATGTATGAGGATTGGCACTAGCCATCTATGCATATTACCCTGTTTCTCATAGTCATTCATTGCTCAATGGATGTTAATTGCACAGCTGCCAGTCTCTTTTATGGCCTTAGCCATATTGTTTGTGTTATTTATATCAAGCAAGTATTTTCTGAATCAGTTATGTCCTCCTGTTCAAAGGAAGTCTAGCAAATACTTCATAGTAAAATTTCACATTTCTTCAGAGCCATATGTTCTCATAGTGAGTATGGCCTTTATCCAAAGTAGGCCTAGTCCTACTATCTTATATCCATGTGTTTCCCATTTAAGCCAATGAGGGATGCAGTAGATGATTACTTTTGAAAATCAGAATACTTTTATTTAGGGCTTGTCTGCCCAGCATCACAGTCTGAGTTGTTGTTGAACACTTTGGGGCTACGTCTACACTGGCCCCTTTTCCGAAAGGGGCATGCTAATTTTACAGGTCATAATAGGGAAATCCACGGGGGATTTAAATATCCCCCGCGGCATTTAAATAAAAATGTCCGCCGCTTTTTTTCAGCTTTTAGAAAAGCCGGAAAAGAGCATCTACACTGGCACCGATCCTCCGGAAAAAAGCCCTTTTGAAGTAGGAATAAGAGATCCTCTAGAAAAGAGCTTTTTTCTGGAGGATCGGGGCCAGTGTAGACGCTCTTTTCTGGCTTTTCTAAAAGCCGGAAAAAAGCGGCGGACATTTTTATTTAAATGCCGCAGGGGATATTTAAATCCCCCGCGGATTTCCCTATTATGACCTGTAAAATTAGCATGCCCCTTTCGGAAAAGGGGCCACTGTAGACGTAGCCTGGGTGTATCTACACTGCACCTGAAACTCAAAATAAAATATGCAATTTATGCAATGCAAATTGCGTAGCATATTTTGAGTCTATTTCAAAATAACTTATTTCATCATTTGGGACTGTCTACACAGAACCAAATTTTGAAATGCAGTGCTATTTTGAGGCATCCCTTACTCCTCATAGAATGAGGTTTATAGGGATGGTGAAATAGCGTGTCTGCTATATTTTGAAATGGCTTAAGCATTCAAAAGACACGTGACTGTTATTTCAAATTAACTTTGCAACATAGACATACCCTTAAAACAAAAAAAGCAGTCATGTAGCACTTTAAAGACTAACAAGATGGTTTATTAGGTGATGAGCTTTCGTGGGGCAGACCCACTTCTTCAGATCTGCCCCATGAAAGCTCATCACCTAATAAACCATCTTGTTAGTCTTTAAAGTGCTACATGACTGCTTTTTTTGTTTTATGCTGTTCTGTGGACTTCTTCTAGAGCAGAAAGGATAGGCCGGTCATTACTACACATTATCTGTTATAACACTTTTGATTCATACAAGTGAATGTGAAATCAGAAATTAGTGGTTACAAATTGGAGGAAGCCCAGAATGATTTTATCATCACAGAAACAAGATGGTTGAGGTAATATCTTTTACTGAATCTGTTAACAAGAGTGACAAGCTTTTCAGCTTACACAGAGCTGTTCTTTGGGTTGTATTGTGTGTGTAATACATTGGAGACGTACTAGTATTCGAGTTTTGTTAGTTATATTTTAGTTGCAAATCTGTGCGGTTATCTGCAAAGAGTGAAGGGGCAGGATTTGAAATAGCATGCTAGGCACATGCCAATGGGAGAAACAGAGGAATCTTCCAGTCCTCTATTTTACTGCAGAAAATTGTAAGGGGCTGAAGTGGAATGAAGACAGCTCAATATGGCCACATTCACAGCCTAATAGTCATCCCTCTCCATCACTTGCACAACTACCTAGTCCGGTTTCTTAAGCTGGGCACTAGCATGAAGATTTTGAATAGGAAAAAAAGTAATCTCCGATCGTGCCTTTTGGAAGTGTAATAAACTTTACAGAAAATCAAGTTCCTTCAGGTTGTATGTTAGGATAATCCTAGAGGAAAACCCATTTTAGTGGATGATACTGTGAACTACCTGGGATAATAAAGTATTTTTGTAATCTTCTCTGTGTTCTGTGGCTGATATGGGCTCCATGAATGCAAACCAACAAAAGATAAAAATCAAATAAACTGACAACAACTAGGTCCACTATAAAATTATAAATAACATACATGGAAGAACAATGAAGGAGCCATTTTACTAGATCAGACTGAACAGTAGGACAAAAAACTGCTCCAGGACTACTAGAAGTTGGGGGCTGTGCCAGGTGTTACTGGGAAAGTAGTTTTCCCCATATTTGCAATACAGCTTTAGATTTTATATATGACTATGTTTTGATAATTTGGGCATTGTCAATTTATGTTTCTCCAAAAAGCTATCTCATGATGCATTAATTATCGTAGGTAATTCCAACCCTTCTCATATGATCTGTTTGATATTATTAGCAACATTGCTGGCTATTTCATGCTTAGAGAGGGAACTTAGAATTGGGGAGCTCAGAACTTTGTGGGAGCTCTAAGTTTATTGCAGGATCAGGCTTTTTAAATATTGTGTTGGCAAAATAATAATTAAAAGTAGAATGGGTCAGATTGGGAGATAATTACACAGCCAGAGAAGGGGGCATTTGGAGCATCATGGCAGTGAGTGAAATTACTGAGACACCACATTGCCTGCAAACTATCTGGCCTCCATAGAGCTTTAGTCTGACTGCACACACATTTCAATTTCTATTGGTATACCTTAGGGGTGCATCTGGTCACCCCTATATTCCTCGTTTTTATGAAATTGTGATCTAATATATAACACATGCCTTGTAAGGTATCATAGGAAAGGATATGATCTACTGAAACTCATTTTTCTATCTAAATAAATAGATCTTTAGTGCATATGAAGTCATGAGATTGTGTTGTATGCTGTCACTAAAACATGCTGTAAACTGGGAAATCAGCCAGATTTCAGCTCCCCATAGACAACTGCAAGAAGAATAGCCAACACCTAGGTGAGGTATTAAAACATCTATTAATAGCCATTTTCCAGCAAGGGAGCTACAAATCAATGATTCACCTACATGAGGTTGCACTGAGGGAATTGCTCAACCTTGCATACGGACTGATAGAATGCCCACCAGACATGTCTGAACATGGACTAAAGGTATAAAAACCAAATACAGAGGCCTATGCTTTGCCTTTCTCCTGCTCCCAACTATGATGTAAACAACAAAGATACTGAGAAGAAGACTGAAGACTCCAACAGATGAAGCTGAGACAGATTTGATGGCCAAACCTGTAATATTAAGGACTGCAATGTCCAGTGGGGTGAGGAAAAACTATTCGATCTAGTTGTTGCCTACTTTAATAGGATTGAGAGTCTAATGCAGGCTTATATATTTTATTTTAATTTGGTAACTAACTGATTTATTGCCTGTCACTTATAGCCACTTAAAATCTATCTTTTGTAGTAAATAAACTTGTTTAACAGTCTACCTTTGCCAGTGAATTTGCCTGAAGTTGTAAGGGTACTTGCTCAGGTTTGCAAAAACTGTTATACATCCTCTGTGTGATTCATGAGTGGCTTTAGGAGTATTCATGCAATTTAACTGGGTATGGAGGTTCCACATATTGTTGCTAAGTGACAACAGCACCTGGAAGGGTATGCTGCTGGTCACTAGCAAAGCATTGAGATAGACAGCCTAGGTTGGAGAGAGTTCCGGGAGGGGGGCCGCACTGGTCCCACAATCCCAGGCTGCGCCCTTTAAATCCCGTTATAGTAGGCACTTCAGTTTGGTGTGTGCTGACCTGGAGTTGCAAAACTTGCCCTTTAAATTTTTTTCAATATTGTTCTTCAGTGAGACAGTGGGTACCTTGAACCAGGACCACTTATGTAACCAATTATCCTCAAGAGGCACAGCAAATTCAGTCTGAATGAGCATGTGAACATTAGAGAACTTACAAGAGTCAACCTTTCAATAGAAAGTGAGGTTCAACGTTAACGAAAGCAGAGGTGGCACTTCAAAGTAACACATATAATGTAACAGATTGGGAAGATTTGCAATCAATTCTCAACATTCATGAAATATCAAAATATAGACAATTTAATATTTATTAAAGTTTCAGTTGTCACTGTGGCTGTCACAGTAATTCACAAATTGACATCTGTAAACAGTGCTCCTTTCATGTAGTGAAAATCACTACAATACCTTACAACACACTTTCCAATGATCAGAATGTTTAATAATAAAATAAGGTTTCAATAATTTTCCTTTTGGTAGCATATTGGTATTGCAAGTAGAAGAGAAACTGTAATTGATAAAAAGATTAGTCCCGTTCCATAAAGTATAAAGAGTTATAGAGCAGACAATGAAAACAAGAGATTCATTTTGTGCCATACCTGTAAAGGTAGAGGCAGTGATTTGAACAACAAAGTCATTATCTGAAATCTATTGAGAAGAGATACTTTGCATTTACCTTTGGTATTCCAGAAGTGTCAAGCCAGGTCTCAATGATATTTTCAACAGACAGCACAAACCTTTAAAATAAAAGTAAACTCGTTTCATGGAATATTCATACACAAGTGTGTATATTTTCCACAGAAAAACATGTTGTGCAGAAACAGACTAAAAGCTTTGTAGACTAAGCAGTAGTTTATAATCCAGTTCTTGTTCTTTTTAATTCATAACATTTCTAGAGATGACACTTGCAAATTGAAGACAGATCTGATGGTATGTTTTTCAAACTCAAATGATTAATTCAGTGCTTATGAAAACTGACAGAAAAAGTACAAGAAGCTAAGCTTAATTTATGAAACACATAAGCATTAGCAGGTACTCTATCATTCTGTTTGTGTGGCTTTCTGTTTTTCTTTTTGGAGAAACCAACAAAGAGAGCAAAATTAACCAGAGAATGTCAAAATAAATGTTTTATTTACAGAGCAACCAAAATGAAAGGAAAAAATGCCAGAGGCAAAACTGACATGAAAGTCTAAATTATCTTAGAGTTATGGATTTTAAAATACATTACTGGACTTTAAATCCTCCATAAAGTTTATTAAGGATCCAATATACTTGGATGTGAGTTTTTCTGTGCCTGCTTTATTCCCCAATAACATTTATAGTAAAATCACAATTCATTCTGAAACCATAACTGCTAAGAAAGGAATCTGTCATATTTGAACTTACTGGCACTGAGTTACTCACATACATAAATATTTGCAGGATGAGGTTCTAAATTTGCTTCCTTTTCAGCAGAAAAGGACCTGGGGATTACAGTGGATGAGAAGCTGCATATGAGTCAACAGTGTGCCCTTGTAGCCAAGAAGGCTAATGGCATATTAGGTCGCATTAAGAGGAGCATTGCAAGCAGATCTAGAGAAGTGATTATTATCCTTTATTCGACATTGGCGAGACCACATCTGGAATATTGATTGTGTCCAGTTCCAGGTCCCTCCATTATAGAAAGGATGTGAACGCAATGGAGAGGGTCCAGCGGAGAGCAACCAAAATGATTAGGGGCTGGAGCACATGACGTACAAGGAAAGGCTGAGGGATTTGGGCTTATTTAGTCTGCAAGGGTATGTCTACACTACAAAGTTAATTCCCATTATAGAAAGGATGTGAACGCAATGGAGAGGGTCCAGCGGAGAGCAACCAAAATGATTAGGGGCTGGAGCACATGACGTACAAGGAAAGGCTGAGGGATTTGGGCTTATTTAGTCTGCAAGGGTATGTCTACACTACAAAGTTAATTCAAACTAACAGCCGTTAGTTTGAATTAACTTTCATAGGTGCTACACAACAAACCGCTAGTTCGAACTTAATTCGAATTAGTAGAGCGCTTAATTCGAACTAGGTAAACCTCATTCTACGACGACTAACGCCTAGTTCGAATTAAGTAGTTCAAATTAAGGGCTGTGTAGCCACTTAATTCGAACTAGTGGGAGGCTAGCCCTTCCCAGCTTGCCCTGGTG